GCTTTACTCCATCCACATCATTAAGGTCGACTCTACTTTCAGGAGGCAGTTCCTCCCCAGTTGTATTTTGAGTGCCTTCCACACTGAGGGGCTCATCTTCCGGCACTATATCAGACAATGTTCAGCTGCTATTCATAAGGTTTTCACTGGCCAATTTTTCAGAAGTAGACTGCTAGGTCCTTCTTCCTAGTCTATCTTAGTCTGGAAGCGCTGCTGAAACCTGCCCACCATGGGTGCCCTGCTGCTATTTGAAATATCGGTGGCACAGTTTCCAGCATCAGAGCAACACACAAGTCACCACAGTACTACATACTGACAGACTTATTCATTAAAAATACCTTTTCTCAACAACATAAATGGCGACTATACACATGGATCTCACAGGATGGAAAACACAGGAATCAAATCAACCATATCTGCGGAAAGAGACCATGGAAAAGCTCAATATCATCAGTCAGAATAGGGCCACAGGCCAACTGTGGAACAGACATCAATTGCTCATATGCAAGTTCAAGCTGAAGCTGAAGGAAATTTTAAAAAGTCCACGAAAGCCAAAATACGACATTAAGTATATCCCATCTGAATTTGAGATCATCTCAAGAATAGATTTGATGCATTGAACACCAATGACCAAAGACCAGACGAGTTATGGGATGACATCAAGGACATCATACATGAAGAAAGCAAAAGGTCATTAAAAAGACAGGAAAGAAAGAAAAGACGAAAATGGATGTCAGAAGAGACTCTGAAACTTGCTCTTGAACGTAGAGTAGCTAAAGCGAATGGAAGAAACAATGAAGAAAACAGCTGAACAGAAGATTTCAAAGGGCAGCTCAAGAAGACAAAGTAAAGTATTATAATGAAATGTGCAAAGACCTGAAGTTAGAAAACCAAAAAGGAAGAACAAGCTTGGCATTTCTCAAGCTGAAAGGGCTGAAGAAAAAATTCAAGCCTTGCGTTCCAATTTTGAAGAGCTTGGCTGATAACCAATAGGTCGGCAGGTCGAACAACCAGCTGCTCCTTGGAAACCCTTTGGGGCAGTTCTACTCTGTCCTTTCTGGTTGCTATGAGTCAAAATTGACTCAACGGCAATGGGATTTTTTTTATGGGCAAAATATTGAATGCTGCAGGAAGCATCAAGAGAAGATGGAAGAAATACACAGAGTCACTGCACCAAAAAGCGTTGGTCGATATCCAACCATTTCAGGCGGTAGCATATGATCAGGAACCAATGGAACTGAAGGAAGAAGGCAAAGCTGCACTGAAGGCATTGGCAAAAACAAGGCTGCATGACTTGATGGAATACCAATTGAGATGTTTCAACAAACAGATGCAGCGCTGGAGGTGCTCACTCATCCATGCCAGGAAATTTGGAAGACAGCTACCTGGCCAACCGGCTGGAAGAGATCCATATTTGTGCCCATTTCAAAGAAAGGTGATCCAACAGAACGTGGAAATTATCAAAGAATATTATTAATACCACCCGCAAGTAAAATTTTGCTGAAGATCATTCAAAAATGTTTGCAGCAGTACATTGACAGGGAACTGCCAGAAATTCAAGCTGGATTCAGAAGAGACATGGAATGAGGGATATCATTGCTGATGTCAGATGGATCTTGGCTGAAAGCAGAGAATACCAGAAAGATGTTAACCTGTGTTTTATTGACTATGCAAAGGCATTCGACTGCATGGATCATAACAAATTATGGATAACATTGCAAGGAATGGGAATTCCAGGATACTTAATCGTGCTCATTCGGAACTTGTACATAGACCAAGAGGCAGTTGTTTGAATTGTTGTTGTTGTTGTTAGGTGCCATAGAGTTGGTTCTGACTCATAGCGACCCTATGTACCACAGAACAAAACACTTCCCCATCCTGCACCATGGTCATAATTGTTTTTATGCTTGAGCCTGTTGTTGCAGCCACTGTGTCAATCCATATCATTGAGGGTCTTCCTCTTTTTCGCTGACCCTGTTCTTTACCAAGCATGATGTCCTTCTCCAGGGACTGATCCCTTCCAACAACATGTCCAAAGTATGTAAGACGTAGTCTCGCCATCCTTGCTTCTAAGGAGCATTCTGGTTGTACTTCTTCCAAGGCAGATTTGTTCATTCTTTTGGAAGTCCATGGTATATTCAATATTCTTTGCCAACACCACAACACAAGTGAATACTTCGTGGTTTAAAATTAGGAAAGGTGTGTGTCAGGGCTGTATCCTTTCACCATACTTATTTGATCTTTATGCTGAGCAAATAATCCGAGAAGCTGAACTATATGAAGAAGAATGAGGCATCAGGACTGGAGGAAGACTCATTAACAATCTTCGATATGCAGATGATACAATCTTGCTTGCTGAAAGCAAGGAGGACTTAAAGTACTCAGTGATGAACATCAAAGGCTACAGCTGTCAGTATGGATTATACCTCAACATAAAGAAAACAAAAATCCTCACAAATGGACCAATAAGCAACATCATGATAAACGGAAAATATTAAGTTGCCAAAGATTTCATTTTACTTGGATCCACAATCAATGCCCATGGAAGCAGCGGTCAAGAAATCAAACAACATACTGCATTGGGCAAATCTGCTGCAAAAGACCTCTCTAATGTGTTGAAAAGCAAAGATGTCACTTTGAGGACTAAAGTGTGCCTGACTCAAGCCATGGTATTTTTTTTTTTTTTATTGTGCTTCAGGTGAAGGCTTACAGAACAAATAGTTTCTCATGAAACAGTAGTACACATGTTATTTTATGACATTGGTTAACAACCCCACAACATATTAACCCTCTAACTTCTCAACCTTTTTTTTTTTTTTTTTTTTTTTTGGTGAAAATACACGTAGCCGAAGATATACCATTTCAAAAATTTCTACATGCACATTTCAGTGACATTGACTACGCTCTTCCAATTGTGCTGTTATTTTCACTTAAGATGAAGGTCAAGCCATGGTATTTTTGATAATCTCATATGTATGTTAAAACTGGACAATGAATAAGGAAGACAGAAGAACTGATGCCTTTGATTTATGGTGTTGGCAAAGAATATTGAACATACCATGGACTGCCAGAAGAATGAACAAATCCGTCTTGGAAGAAGTACAGGCAGAATGCTCTTTACAAGTGAGGAATGACAGACTTCATCCCAGGAGGGACCAGTCCCTGGAGAAGGACGTCATTCTTGGTAAGGCAGAGGATCAGCAAAAAACAGGAAGACCCTCAACAAGATGGATGGACACATTAGCTGCAACAATGAGCTCAAACACAAAAACGAATGTGAGGATGGCGCAGGACTGGGCAATCTTTCGTTCTGGTGTACATACGGTCACTATGAGTTAGAAATGACTCGACAACACCTAGCAACAACAGTCCATTACTTGTGTGATTACATGTTTAATATCTTTTCCACTGGACATAAAAGCATGATATTTTCCTGTCTCTCACTGCCTCACCAGTGCCTGGCACAGGAGCTGGCATGTGGAAAGCAATAATCAATGTTTGACAGATAAATAAGTGAATTGTCAAGGACCCAGTCACCTCTCTCCATTTTTTGGTAAATTTTAATTTTTATATCATTTCAAACTTACAGAAAATTTGCAAAAACTACATAAGGAACTCCCATATACACTTTATCTAGATTCCCCAATTGTTTACATTTTGTCTCATTTTCTTAAATCATTCTCTATTTTTACATATATGCATTTTTTCTGAATTATTTGAAATTAAGTTGGAGACACTGTGCCTGTTTACTCCTAAATACTTCAGTGAATATTTCCTAAGAATAAGGACATTCTCTTAACATAATCACAGTACAGTGACCAAATTCAGAAAATTTAACATTGAAAAAATACGCATTAACAGTTAATCCATAATCCATACTAAAATTTTATCACTTGTCCCAATATTGTCAGTTACAGCTATTCCCTGTCGCCACCCCCAGTACAGGATCCAATTTAGAATCACACATCACATTTAGTTGTCATGTGTTTTTTGTCTCTTTGAACTGGAACAGTTCCACAGCCTTTCTCTGTCTTTTGTGACACTGACATTTTTGAAGAGTACAGGTCACTTATTTTGTAGAATGTCTCTCAATTTGGGTTTAACTAATGCTTCCTCTTGAGGTTCAAGTTATGCATTTTTGGCCAGAAGAGATGTTCTGTCCTTCTCAGTGCATTGTTTTAGGAGGCACATGATCTCTACTTGACGAACTCCTTGTAGTGTTAAAGTTGATTACTTTGATCATTTGTTCCACTAGGTTAACCAAAAACCAAAACCTTTGCTGGCCAGTGGATTCCGACTCATAGCATCCCTATAAGACAGGGTAGAACCACCCCATAGGGTTTCCAAGGAGTGCCTGGTGGATTTGAACTCCCGAGCTTTTGGTTAGTGGCCGAACTCTTAACCACTACGCCACCAGGGTTACTTCCACTAGGTTACACCTCGGTAAAATTATTACTTTGCTTTTGTAATTAATAAGTAATTTATGGGAGACACTTTTACAGTCTAAATATTCTGTTCCTCTAGGATATTTATTATTAGTTGGATTTCTACTACAAAGAAGAGCTTTCCCTTCTCCTCCATTATTTATTTAGTCACTTCTTTATGTCAGCAAAGACTCATGAGTTGCTGTTTTATTCAATTAGCTATATTCTATTACTATCATTATATATTTTGATGCTCAAATTGCCCCAATTTGGCCAGTGGGATCCTCTTCAAGTTAGCTTGTGTCCTTTAACATATTCCTATTATTCTTAACACTTCCTTACATTCTGGCGCAACAAGCTTATCTGGTACTTCCCCTGCCCCAGCTCTGGAATCAGTCTCTTCAAGAAGCCCCCACCCATGCGCTTTGAAAAGCTAACAAACCGCTTCCTGTCCCCAGGCGGAACCTTAGATCCGGGACCCTGACCGGAGAACAGCGTAGCGCAACAACCTTTTCCGGTTGGGCCCGGAAGTCCTTGAAAGGGGCGGCTCCGCGTCAGGTGACTAGAGTTCGCGTAGGTGGGGTCGAAGGTCGGGCCAGACGGGCTCTCTGGCGGGTTGAGTGGCAACTCGGTCGACTGATCGAATAGGTTGGAGCCGTCTAGGCGGCGTTAGCTGCGCGAAGGCACGTACGTGAGGGTCTGGGCTGGCAGACCGGGCGAGGTTGGGAGCCGGGGGCGTGGGAACGGGTTCCGCCTTCCGGAGCCCACAGGCTGTGGCACCTGAGCGCCAGCATCCAGAGACAACAAGCACGGCTCTGCTCTGGGCCTTCCTCCCCAGAAAGAAGGTCGGGCTAGCGTTGTGATCTTCCGTCCTGCAATTACATATTGGAGAAATGAGGCCCCAAGAAGGGGTGGGACTCCCACGACTCCTTTCCAGACGGGGACTTACCCTAACTCCCTTTACGCGCTTCTCTACCTGCATGGGACCGCCTCTTTCACATGGGGGTGCTTTTAACGCGTTTACCCGAGTGTAGAGGCCGAGGCTAGGAAACGTGGTGAATAGAGTTGGGCTGGGAGTCAGAGACCCTTGTTGCAGACTTCGCCGCCCGCAGTCAATTGTGCGTTCTGGGCCAGATCTCTTTCCTGTGCTGGGCCTCGGCTTTCTCACTTGTAAAACGGGATAGTGTTTCTCAGAATAATGGTTCTCACATCATCTGCTGCGAAATCTCCCGGGATGCGTGTTTTGAAATGCAGATTCCTGGACCTCAGGTGAGACCTCTGATTTAGAATCTGGGTAGGAATCGTGGGAATCCTATACGTACAGATGTTTGAAATCCACTGATCTTAGGTGCTTTCCTGCTGTGAGTACTAGATATTCATTCTCCACTTTGAGGCAGCTGGAGCCTCTTCAGAATCTTGAAAGAATTGTAATGGTTAGCCTAGAAAAGAAGTGCACTGGAAGGGAGGAAGTGTCTTTAAAAAGCAAAAAGTTTTTATGGCAATGAGGGCTTCTACTTCTTTGGGACTGAAAGAGGCAGAACTAGGACCAGTAGGTGGATTCTACAGGAAGACAGCATTTTGACTTAGTAGAAGATCTTAATGGAAGAACCATCAGAGGTGACCAGCAATGGAATCGATTGCCTCAAAGATAGTGAACTCCCTCTCCAGGGAGATGCATAGGCATTAGACGGAGGTTCTTTCCAACTTAAAAGTCTCTGATTCTAAGTAGTTATTTTGACTCTTTCTGGTGCTGACTCTACCCTCAAAGTACTTGTGACTTCTTTTTTATGCCTCCTTTTTTTTAATGACCCCCCCAACCCTGGGAGTAAGGCCAATGGGTCTGGCCTTACGCAATCTTACTGCTTATTCTTTGCACCATCCCTCTTTTCAGGGACTTTGGAATGGCCCAACATTTCACAGGGGTTCCTTAAATGTTTGTTGAACAAATAATTAAGCAGTTTCCCATCCCCATCATTTAATAGCTTATTTTCTTAGGACACCTTGGAAGTGCCCCCTTAAAACATTGTGTTTGATCAGGTAAAGCCAGTGAACTCTTTGGGTTGCAGAGTTGAGAACTCTCAGTTGGAAGGGCTCCGTGAGGTTGTCCAGGCCAGCCTTCTCCTCCCTCAGACATAAATCCTTCTTTAATCCTCTCACCAGCAGTGTGTATTGTATAGATGTTGTGCTGAGAGAATTTTTGCAGTCTGTTGGCTAACTTTCCATCCAGCCTATAAAACCAGTCCTCTTACGGACTTAACCTGCCAGTTCATCCTCACTGATGTGTAATCTGCATATAATATTTCTAGTATAACTCTAGTTTTCTAATCAGACATCAAAGCTCCTTATTTTGTGATCTACAAAATTCAGAGTAGTTCACTTTTTAAAAATCTGTTAGAAGTGCTTAAGAATGCATAAGTTGCCCTATGGAGCAGAGAATCTGTGTTATGACACAATGCTGCTGACATGCTAATGTGCAAAAAAAAAAGGTCGGAGTTGAGCCAAAACTTCCTGCCTGTGTTTATCTACTTGTTTGTGTGTGTTTCCCAGGATTAAAAATAGTTGTGAAATGCTTATTCAGATACTATCCAGGTGCTGGGTAAAGTTATCTTAATCTGGTGGTTGGGAGATAAATTTTTAAAACTTCTTAATCTGAAGGTTTCCTTTTAAAGAAGTACTTAAATTAGTATTTTCATAAGTGTGTTCTTCAGGCCTCTAATCTGAAGCTATGTCGCTGAAAAAGGGGTTCTGTTGTAAAAATAAGTTTGGGAAAAGCTACATACCTTTATCCCTTCTTGAAGTTTCTCAGTACGTAGTACCACGTTAAAGGCACTGAGAAGTTCTGCAATAAAGAAGTGCGCTTAACCTTGTTAGTCTAGTACTGTCAAACTTATTTGAGTAAAACACTGTTGTTTTTTAGATGAATCACACATTAGCCAATTCTGACCTAGACCAGAGGTCTACAAACTACCAGTCCTTCGTTTCCAGCTTTCGCATTCCAACCAGCAGTAATTATCAATGCATCCTGATGGCATGTTCGATCAATTTCAGACTGAAGAAGTTGGTAAAAATCTTTAATTTCTTCATCTTTGGCTTTAGTGGTTGGTGTGTAAATTTGAGTAATAGTCGTATTAACTGGTCTTCCTTGTAGGCACATGACAGCGTTGTACTTCAGGATAGATCTTGAAATGTTCTTTTTGACGAATGCGACGCCGTTGCTCTTCAAGTTGTCATTCCTGGCGTGGTAGACCATATGGTTGTCTGATTCAAAATGGTCAATACCAGTCCATTTCAGCTTGCTAACGCCTAGGATATCAATGTTTGTGAATTTCACTTCATTTTTGACGATTTCCAATTTTCCTAGATTAATACTTTGTGCATTCCGATTATTAATGGATGTTTGCAGCTGTTTCTTCTCATTTTGAGTTGTGCCACATCAGCAAATGAAGGTCCTGAAAGCTTGACTCCATCCACGTCAGTAAGGTTGACTCTACTTTGAGGAGGCAGCTTTTCCCCAGTTGTCTATTAAGTGCTGCCCAACCCGGGGGGGCTCTTCTTCCAGCACTGTATCAGACAATGTTCCGCTGCTGCTATTCGTAAGTTTTTCACTGGCTAATTCTCTTCAGAGGTATTCTGCCGGGCCCTTCTTCCTAGTCTGTCTTAGTCTGGAAGTTCAGCTGAAACCTGTCCACCATCGGTGACCCTGCTGGTATCTGAATACTGGTGGCATAGCTTCCAGCATCACAGCAACACGCAAGTCCCCACAGTACAACAAACTGACAGATACATGGGGGAATGTCTTGTAGAGAGGTCCATTAACCTAACCATTCACTTATTCGGTAAGTCATTAAGATAGACAATGCGAATAACAAGCTCTCAGCATGTTCTTCCACCATTTTCCATCGCAACTCGTGGGGACCCCATGAATAACTGTGCTCCATAGGGTTTTGAATGGCTGATTTTTTTCGGAAGTAGAACACCAGGTCTTTTGTCCAAAGCGCCTCTGGGTGAACTTGAACTTCCAACCTTTTGGTTAGCAGCTGAGCACATTAGATATTTGCACCACCAAGGGACCCCTCAGCATGTTCTTAGTGGGGTAGAAACGCAGTTTTTAAAAGTAGGGACCAAAGGGGCTTCTGGCTTACAATTCTAAGATGTGGACCTAATTGCTTTATGGCTATCATGGCCCTTATTTCTCTATTCTTTACATCTGCTGGGCATGACATGGGTTTATCTCTTCATTTCATTGGTCTGTGGGACCAAAGCACTTGAATGGTGGACCCTTGTCCCCCATTTGCCCCCCTAAGGACACATGACAATCGGAAACAGTACTTCTGTGGTCATTGAGCCTACTTCTGTGGAGATGGCCCAGGAAATTGGCTGGCAGTTCCCCTCTGGGACCAATCACCAGCTTGACCCCCATGGTAGTCTCTGTAGCACCTGATCATTTAATATCCACTCTCCCAACTGCTTCTCAGAAGCACTTTGTGTTGTATGCATGGCAGGGGTTTTTAAAAATGAACGACTCTCTGAATACCCTGAGCCCTAGTGGTGCAGTGGTTAAGAGCTCGGCTGCTGACCAAAAGGTCAGCAGTTAGAATCGACCAGCTGCTCCTTGGAAACCCTGTGGGGCAGTTCTGCTGTGTCCTGTAGGGTCACTATGAGTTGAAATCGACTCGATGGCAATAGATTTTTTTTGGTTGGACAAAACCAGGAAAATTTTTGTTTTTTTCTTAACACTCACATCTTTTCCCAGGCACTTCTCAGTTGAAGAGCTTGTTTTTTTGTTTGTTTGTTTTTTTGTTTTTTTTTCATCATCAGTTTATTTTTTTTTTCATTTTTATTTTATTTTATTTTATTTTTAATATTTTATTGTACTTCAGGTGAAGGCTTACAGAACAGATTGTTTCTCATGTAACAGTAACACACATGCTGTTTTATGACATTGGTTAACAACCCCACAACATTTTAACCCTC